GGACAACAAGTTTCTGACGTCTATCGCCGAACCTTACCCCAGCAAGATGTGTGCTAAGCTATGTCAATGTTTCGCTAATGCCATTGCCAACAAAAGAGCCCTCGCTTTGTATGAATTCGGCCTGTAGGCCAGTAGTATTTCTGGCAACGTGAGCGCTTCCATAGTTTTGGTGTGTGTGTGCGTGCAGTGGCCCTTGTATGATATCAAACAGGTGCCGTCGGCTCGCCATGCCTCCAGCTGAGGCGGATCGCCTCCGACCACACACAGAAAAAGGTCTCTGCTGGCGGGGAAGGCTCTGGCAGGCTGATGCAAGTGCTCGCACGTGAATCATCTAGGCAAGCCCGACCGCCGTCAAGCGGTACAACGCTTCCATAGTCTTCTCTCCCCCCCTCCCTTGGCTCTCGCTGCCCCGTTCGACTCTCTCAGCGCTATGGGTGTGTGTGTGCGTGCAGTGGCCCTTGTATGATATCAAACAGGTGCCGTCGGCTCGCCATGCCTCCAGCTGAGGCGGATCGCCTCCGACCACACACAGAAAAAGGTCTCTGCTGGCGGGGAAGGCTCTGGCAGGCTGATATATATAGTTATATCTCTCTCCCTCTCTCTCTCTCTCTCTCCCCTCTCTCTTCTCTCTCTCTCTCTCTTTCTCTTTCTCTTTTTCTTCTCTCTCTCTCTCTCCTCTCTCTATCTATATATATATATACACATCCCTCTCCTCTCTCTCTCTCTCTCTCTCTCTCTCTCTTCTGCTCTCTCTCTCTCTCTCTCTCTCTCTCTCTCTCTCTCTCTCTCTCTCTCTCTCTTTCTTTCTCTCTCTCTCTCTCTCTCTCTCTCTCTCTCTCTCTCTCTCTCTCTCTCTCTCTCTCTCTCTCTCTCTCTCTCTCTCTCTCTCTCTTCCTCTCTCCGTTCATTTCCTCCTCCTCCTCCTCCCCCACCCCCTCCTCCCATCGCCAGCCTAGAGCATGCGGTTATTCTCCGCGAGAGCAGCGACGGCGGCCGGCGCCGCGTCGACCCCGCGCCCTTTCTTCCACAACGAGACATGCGCAAGCAATGCTTGATAATATTATATTTATGTGTATATATATATGTATACATATATATATATAGAAAACAGAGAAAAACTTCAGTATCTCGTCGCAGTAGTTCGGCGCCGCGAGACATTGGATTCCTTCGGCACAAGGGCCAGTTATCCATCCCGCTTGCGCGCCTGAGCCGCCAGAGGCCCGAAACCCATGAAAAGCGCACGCGCGCCATACGCATCGATGATAGAAAGGAGAGAGAGAGAGAGAGAGAGAGAGAGAGAGAGAGAGAGAGAGAGAGAGAGAGAGAGAGAGAGAGAGAGAGAGAGAGAGAGAGAGAGAGAGAGAGAGAGAGAGAGAAAAAAAAACAAAAAAAAAAAAAAAAAAAAAAAAAAAAAAAAAAAAAAAAAAAAAAAAAAAAAAAAAAAAAAAAAAAAAAAAAAAAAAAAAAAAAACGCTGCCTCGTCGCAGTTGTTCAGCGCCGCGAGACATTGGATTCTTTGGGCAAAAGGGCAAGCCCAAAAAGGGCGAGGCGCGAATGGCGTTCAAGCGCCCCTCTGCAACCAAGACCAAGGATTGGAAGAACACGCCGCGCGTCAGGGGGAAGAACGCGACGCCTGGCAGGGGCTTGCGCCGCGAGCAAGCAAAGTGGAAGCGCGCGGCCCCAGAGCTCTCGGCGGCGCTCGACTCGGAGATCGCGACCCGTCCGATCTGCGGGCGCGGCGCGCTCGAGGTTAGTCGCCCGCCCTCGCAGGGGCGATCGCCTGTTGCACCGTTCCAATGCGAAGTGCTGCCAGAAGTGCGTGCCCCTCGCCCACCTTAACCCAATATTCAGCACGCGCTCTGGTTCCGAGAGCTTGCAGAATCAGGCCGCGATTCTTCCGGCGAAGCTCGCGGGGACTTCCCGTGCGAACACCCGCGTCATGTTCGGCGTCAACCACAAGGCAGTGGGGCGGCTCTGAAGCAATGTTAAGCAGGCGCGGAGAATGCACGTGGAGGGCGCGGGGCCGAACATTGAATACAGTGGGCCGAAGGCGTGGGCAGACGTGGAGGCCGACGAGGCGACCTTCGACAAGTTGGACTTGACCGACGGCCCCGAGCCTCTGGGAACCCCGACTCGCCCCGCCATGTGGGAGCAGTGGCTGGGCGTCGCGCGGCGCGGGAAGCCGCGCGCGCTGACCCTTGCGAGGCTGAGCCCCGAGATGGCGGAGAAGCGGGCGCCGGGCCCCGGGGCCGCGCGCAAGGTAGAGCGGAAGCCCCTTGCGGAGCGCTGGTTGAAAGACCGCGACGTCGTCGTTCACAGTGGCTCGGCGCGCCCCTACAAACTACGCGTGCCCGGTGTCATCCACGACTTCGTTGCCCACGCAAAGAAGTGCAAGAACGTCGGTGGCAAGAGGGCGGTGATTCCCCCCGCGCACGTCGAGCTGAAGACGCACGTGCCCCCGTCAGGGATGCAGTTGAAGGTCAAGAGCGGCGCGCAGATCATCGACCGCGCGTGGCGCTTCACCAAGGACCGCCTGCGCAGGAGCGCCACCGCCAGGGCAGGGACGAAGCTGCTCGCCGCCAAGATCCGCTCGGCTCAGCACGACTACTGGCACAAGGACGACAACATCTGGACCAAGACGGGGGAGATGGTGCAGCACATCATGCGCGACGTGCTGATGGCGTGATCGGCCCTCGGCGGGCCCTCTGCGGTAAACTAGGGCATTGCGCCCCACTACGCGGGTTTTTTATTGGCACAATCACGACGACCATTGGGCAATTCGGCGCGCACAGCGCAACAGATACAGCGCAACGTACAGTGTACATGTTCTGCCGCGGCAGGCGTGCGGGGGCAGGCTTGGGCAGCGCGCCTGCACTACGCGGTGATTATGCCATGGATGCGTTCCTATGCGCGCTCCCACGCATGGCAGCGCACAGCGCAAAATTACTGATCACAGCTTGGTTGGGTTTTCATCGAATTCTCATTGGGATGTTATTCGGGCGCGATGAGAACCAACTGGCTCTGACATCTGAAACATTCCGGCGTGGGTCGCGTCGTCATTCCGTTCAAAGCTAGTATGGATATTCAGTACATGGAATGCGCCCCATTCCTGTTGAAATCGCTTGGTAATCTTATTTGAATACCATCGGCGCCACAACATCGGACAGCTTATTGCGTGACAGCACAAAAAAGGTAGGTCCCTGAGGGGGTGGTAGCGTTTATATGTGTGTATGCATGCATGTGCGTACGTATGTAGTCATGCGTGTATGCATGTGCATGTTGGTATGTAAGGATGCATGCATGCACGCATGCATGCATGTATGCACGTATGAATGTGTACATGTGCGTATACATGCGTGCCTATATGTGTATATGTATGTATGTGTGTACCCGTACACGTATGTTTGTATGTATGTATGTATGTAAGGTTATGCATATGTACAGATGCATGTGTGCATGTATGTGTGTGCACGTATGCAAATGCATATGTATGAATGTACGTGTGCATGTATGTATGCATACATGGGTTTGCACATGTGTGTAAAGGTATGTATGTATGCATACATGTATGGTGGAAAGCGTTTGTGTGAGTACGTGCGTGTGCACGAATGCATATATATGCACATACGTGTACATATACATATACATGTACCTGTGCAGCATAAATGTATCCGTTCGGGTAATATGGAGATTGGGAGGTGGAGCCAGTTGATGGCAAGTGCGATGGTTGTGATTGAGAAGATGATTGTAATGCGTTCACGAGTTGGCGAAGCTGCAATATGTCGCTGACGGTGGGAATGTGATTGTGGCGGTGCACAGCACGCGCCAGCGGTATGACTCACCCGCGGTGGCGGGTTCGCACCAGTGATTGCGTCCTGACCGCCGTCGCGGCTAAATATGTGCCACCTCCACTTTTTGTGGGTGATGGTGATCTTGTCGGGGGTGAGTGTGGTGATGATAACGGCGATTGTGATGGAAATGATGATCGCTGCGGAGAAAAGCCAGAAAGCCGACGCCTCCTCAGGTGCCAACGGCGAAAGTGGCTTCGACGCCAGGGGGGGGTGACCTCAAGACACTTTGGGGGCAAATGAAGAACATCAGGACGGCATCGAGGCAAAATCGGAACACCATGTGGACACCATCGGGACACCATGTGGGCACCATCGGGGCACCATGTGGAAACCCGGTTGAGCAGAGCAACCGCGGTGTGATTGTGGCGGTCTTGCTTGTGACTGTGGATGTGATGGCAGTGGTGCTTGTGATGGCTGGCTCTTGGTTGCGATTGTGCCGATGCGAGCGCGGCGATGGTGATTTTTTGCGCTCGCGCCGCCCAGCACTAGTCCACGATGTTCCACTGGTCCGAGCCAGCGGCGGCACCCGAGGCATTGGCAGAGCTCGGTGCCGAGGGCGCTTGCGCGTCGTTGTCGGCGACACCGAAACCTGCTGCCCGGAAGAGGCAGCGGGCTCGGCCCGCCCACGGAAAGCGCGCAGAGCCACGCAGAGAAAATGTTTCTAGAGCCACGCTAAGAAACTCCCCAAGCTGGGCGCGAAGGTGCGCTGGCAGAACCTCGCGTCGGCACTCGGCCCGCCCGCGGAAAACGAACGCTGGAGAGCGCTCACGAGAGCCACGCAGGCAGAACTTCGAACCTCGATCTGAGAGTGCGCTGGCAGAGCCTGGCGCTGGCACTCGTCTTGTCTGGCTAGGGCGGACGGACGGACGCGGGGAGCGTGGCTCGGACACCAGTCGCCGCACTTTCCTCTGGCGCTCCTCCGACCAGTATTTGCTACCCAAATCCCTCGCGGATTTGGCAGGTGTCGAGGTGTCGGCAGAGTCCAGAGTCTGGTGGCGGCAGCGTCGCCCTTGGACAAGTTCGCAACGTGCCCACCTTTTACCAAAGGGCTCCGCCGGAGCCGGGGGCGCCAGCGGAGCTTGGCGCCTGCATTCGACAGCAGACGCGAGAATGGGAGCTCATTCTTTGTCCAAGCCATACGTCAGCATCTCACTGAAGTCGCAGTACCCCCACAAAATTCACAGTCTCCGGTGGGTCGCTGAGAATGCAAACCACAACCGTCGACGACACTTTGGAGGTCTGCTCGTTCAACTTCCCCTCGTTCAGCGGCTCCGGGTTGCTGGCCCCCAGCGCGCAGCAGCACCCGGTGCGCGCCGATGATCTTCTGTCTATTCCGCGGACTGCCAGGCCAGCCAGCGTGTCCTCCAGAACGCGGTCCACTGGCACTGGGGACATGACATTCGCAGCCGCCGCTGAGAGGCCATGGCACAAACACATATTTAGGTAAACGCATGGCCGTCAGCGACACGATTGCGGTGAGTGGCGCGATGCCCAAGCCCACGATGTTACGCTCGGCGTTCCCGTTCTCGCCCCCAAGAACACCGTGGTTGTTCGGCCGTTCTTTCACACCTGTCAAAGTCTGCGCGCGAAGCTGCCCGGCCAGCCCGTCTGCGGCGCTGCGGCCACAGAGCACCGGGGCGGCGCAGCCGAGCGCGTCGACGCCCGCCCGCCCACCGCGCTGCCAACCCCCCGAAGACGGCAGCTCACAGGGAAGAGGCGGCCGCCCTGCGCGCACGTCGCGCCCTGCTGCATCGGCGCGCCCAGGCGCAGCGGTTGATCTGGAGCGCAATGTTACCTGGCATGGCCACATCGCCGACCAAGGCCGTTGCGCACGTCAGGCGCCGCTTCCACCAACGCCATCGAGCCTTCGCCCTGAGCGAAATTTGCGGCGATCACCTCGGCCTGGGCACTGGAAGCGGCCAGACTGATCAGAGATTGAGCTTGCTCGCCAGCGGTGCAGACGTGCGCCCCTGGCCAGACATCGGCCATCGCCCCATCGCCCTCCGCCGCAGCAGAGCACCCGAGCACAGCGATGCCGGCCCCGTCGGGGACCTCACGGAGGCAGGCGCGGGCACTTAGCAAAACGCCCACCGCGGTCTTTCCCCCGCCAGCATTTGTAAACTCAGCGCCAGCAACGCCGTTGGCAGCGCCTCCGTTTGTCGCACGCCTCGCTGTGCTCATGCCGAGAAGCTCGCCAGCGAAGTCGAACGCTTTGCGGTCGGCGCCGGCCGAGCCCGGCGCGGCGGCGCTGGCCTTCCGAGGGCCGGCGAAGCCCTCGATGTTCGGGGCAACGCGCACGCGCGTGGAGGGATGCGCCAGCAGATCCAGACACGCAGGCAGCACGCTCGCGGCCGTTGCTGGCTTGGGAAGCAGAACCGCGGACTGGAGGGGGCGCTGGCCGAAGTTCGGTCTGGCCCTGGCCGGGCGCACACGCCAAAGCTGCGGGGGCGGACTGCTGGCCAGCGAGCCGCAGATGTCGGCCTCGGACCTCGAGGCGCACCCCGAGGCGGTGGCCCCGGACACGTATGAGGGCTGAGCCGCGAGGAACCAGCCTTGGCTCATGATGTTCCAGCCTACTCTAGCCTTGATCACCAGAAAGAATTTCGAGCACCAGAAAAGGCGTTGCAATTCGATGGGTTTCACGTGTCGGGCCCGTGGAGACACTCGCCCGACACTGTTTCGACACTGTTTCGATACTCTTTTGACACTTTTCTGGGTGGTCGAAATTATTTCCGGGATGCGGTCCTTAAGTAGGATGGGAACAACAACCCCACGGGACAGGCCAGGGACCGTCTTGATGATTGATCCGCTTGCGCACCCTCACAGGGAGAGCGTCGTGTGTGTTAGGGGGGGGCTTGTCTGCAGCTGTCCAACGGACTGTCCCTGCTGGGTCCAGTTTCTACAGGCATTCACGCGCGTTGCATTCGTCCGGCCCAGATTGATCGGAGCATTTGGCTTCTGGTTGACCTTCGCGCACAGGGAAGTTTCAGGACACAGGCCAGCGCAACGACACCCTTGGGAAATTAGGCGTGCAAGATGCACTCTGCACGCTGTGGTGCCGTTTCCTGTTGAAAGGAAATTCGTTGCATGCGAATGAATGTGTTTCCCCACCCGAAGACTGCATTCATATACAGAACGGGTGGAATTGAGTGATGATTCATACAGTGAGACGTTGGAATACCGTTTCAAGTGTTCATACAAGCTTGTATATCGACAGATGAACGACACTTCGTTGATTTGTACCGTTTGAGTGTGTGAGTGTGTGTCTGTGTGTGTGTGTCTGTGTGTGTTTGTGTGTGTGTGTGTCTGTGTGTGTGTCTGTGTGTGTGTGTCTGTGTGTGTGTGTGTCTGTGTGTGTCTCTGTGTGTGTCTCTGTGTGTGTCTCTGTGTGTGTCTCTGTGTGTGTCTGTGTGTGTGTCTCTGTGTGTGTCTCTGTGTGTGTGTCTCTGTGTGTGTGTCTCTGTGTGTGTCTGTGTGTGTGTGTCTCTGTGTGTGTGTCTCTGTGTGTGTGTGTCTGTGTGTGTGTGTGTCTCTGTGTGTGTGTCTCTGTGTGTGTGTGTCTCTGTGTGTGTCTCTGTGTGTGTGTGTCTCTGTGTGTCTGTCTCTGTGTGTGTGTCTCTGTGTGTGTGTCTCTGTGTGTGTGTCTCTGTGTGTGTCTCTGTGTGTGTGTGTCTGTGTGTGTGTGTCTCTGTGTGTGTCTCTGTGTGTGTGTGTCTCCTCCTGTGGTGTGTGTCTCTTCTCTGTGTGTGTGTCTCTGTGTGTTGTGGTGTGTGTTCTCTGTGTGTGTGTGTGGTGTGTGTCTCTGTGTGGTGTGTGTCTCTGTGTGTGTGTGTCTCTGTGTGTGTGGTGTCCTGTGTGTTGTCTCTGTGTTGTGTGTGTCTCTGTGTGTGTCTCTGTGTTGTGTGTCTCTCTGTGTGTGTGTCTCTGTGTGTGTCTGTGTGTGTGTGTCTCTTGTGTGTGTGGTGTCTCTGTGTGTGTGTGTCTCTGTGTGTGTGTCTCTGTGTGTGTGTCTCTGTGTGTGTGTGTCTCTGTGTGTGTGTCTCTGTGTGTGTGTGTCTCTGTGTGTGTGTGTCTGTGTGTGTGTCTCTGTGTGTGTCTCTGTGTGTGTGTGTCTGTGTGTGTGTGTCTCTGTGTGTGTGTCTGTGTGTGTGTCTCTGTCTGTGTGTCTCTGTATGTGTGTGTCTCTGTGTGTGTGTGTGTCTCTCTGTGTGTGTCTCTGTGTGTGTGTGTGTCTCTGTGTGTGTCTCTCTGTGTGTGTCTCTGTGTGTGTGTCTCTCTGTGTGTGTGTCTCTGTGTGTGTCTCTCTGTGTCTGTCTCTCTGTGTCTGTCTCTCTGTGTCTGTCTCTCTGTGTCTGTCTCTCTGTGTCTGTCTCTCTGTGTCTGTCTCTCTGTGTCTGTCTCTCTGTGTCTGTCTCTCTGTGTCTGTCTCTCTGTGTCTGTCTCTCTGTGTCTGTCTCTCTGTGTCTGTCTCTCTGTGTCTGTCTCTCTGTGTCTGTCTCTCTGTGTCTGTCTCTCTGTGTCTGTCTCTCTGTGTCTGTCTCTCTGTGTCTGTCTCTCTGTGTGTGTCTCTCTGTGTCTGTCTCTCTGTGTCTGTCTCTCTGTGTCTGTCTCTCTGTGTCTGTCTCTCTGTGTCTGTCTCTCTGTGTCTGTCTCTCTGTGTCTGTCTCTCTGTGTCTGTCTCTCTGTGTCTGTCTCTCTGTGTCTGTCTCTCTGTGTCTGTCTCTCTGTGTCTGTCTCTCTGTGTCTGTCTCTCTGTGTCTGTCTCTCTGTGTCTGTCTCTCTGTGTCTGTCTCTCTGTGTCTGTCTCTCTGTGTGTGTCTCTCTGTGTCTGTGTGTGTCTCTCTGTGTGTGTCTGTGTGTGTGTCTGTGTCTGTGTCTGTGTCTGTGTGTGTCTGTGTTTGTGTGTGTCTGTGTCTGTGTCTGTGTCTGTGTCTGTGTCTGTGCCTGTGTCTGTGTCTGTGTCTGTGTCTGTGTCTGTGTCTGTGTCTGTGTCTGTGTCTGTCTGTGTGTCTGTCTGTGTGTCTGTGTCTGTGTCTGTGTCTGTGTCTGTGTCTGTGTGTGTCTGTGTCTGTGTCTGTGTGTGTGTGTGTGTCTGTGTCTGTGTCTGTGGCTGTGTCTGTGTGTGTGTCTGTGTGTGTCTGTGTGTGTCTGTGTGTGTCTGCGTGTGTGTCTGTGTGTGTCTGTGTGTGTGTTTGTGTGTGTCTGTGTGTGTGTCTGTGTGTGTGTGTGTCTGTGTGTGTGTCTGTTGTCTTTGTGTGTCTGTCCTGGTGTGTGTGGTCTGTGTGTGTCTGTGTGTGTCTGTGTGTGTCTGTTGTGTGTGTCTGTTGTGTGTGTCTGTGGTGTGTGTCTGTGTGTGTCTGTGTGTGTCTGTGTGTGTCTGTGTGTGTCTGTGTGTGTCTGTGTGTGCCTGTGTGTGTGTCTGTGTGTGTGTCTGTTGTGTGTGTCTGTGTGTGTGTCTCTGTGTGTGTGTCTCTGTGTGTGTGTCTGAGTGTGTGTCTGTGTGTGTGGTGTCCTGTGTTTGTGTCTGGTGTGTGTTTGTCTGTGTGTGTCTGTGGGGTGTGTCTGTGTGTGTGGGTCTTTTGTGTTTGCTGTGTGTGTGTGTGTCTGGTTGTGTGTCTGTGTGTGTGTGTTTCTGTGTGTGTGTCTGTGTGTGTGTCTGTGTGTGTGGTTGTGTCTGTGTGTGTGTCTGTGTGTGTGTCTGTGTGTGTGTGTCTGTGTGTGTGTGTCTCTGTGTGTGTGTCTCTCTGTGTGTGTGTCTCTGTGTGTGTGTCTCTGTGTGTGTGTTTCTCTGTGTGTGTGTCTCTGTGTGTGTGTCTCTCTGTGTGTGTCTCTATGTGTGTGTCTCTCTGTGTGTGTCTCTCTGTGTGTGTCTCTCTGTGTGTGTCTCTCTGTGTGTGTGTGTCTGTGTGTGTCTCTCTGTGTGTGTCTCTCTGTGTGTGTCTCTGTGTGTGTCTCTGTGTGTGTGTCTCTGTGTGTGTCTCTGTGTGTGTCTCTGTGTGTGTCTCTGTGTGTGTCTCTGTGTGTGTCTCTGTGTGTGTCTCTGTGTGTGTTTCTGTGTGTGTCTCTGTGTGTGTCTCTCTCTGTGTGTGTCTTGTGTGTCTCTCTTGTGAAATCTCTCTGTGTGCGTCTCTCTGTGTGTCTCTCTGTGTGGTTATCTCTGTGTGATATTCGTGTGTCGCTCTGTGGTCTCTACTGTGTGTCTCTCTGTTGTTCTCTGTGTGTCTCTCTGTGTCTTCTCTGTGTGTCTCTCTGTGTGTTCTCCTGTGTGTCTCTTCTGTGTTGTCTCTCTGTGTGTCTCTCTGTGTGTGTCTCTGTGTGTGTCTCTGTGTGTGTCTCTCTGTGTGTCTCTCTGTGTGTCTCTCTGTGTGTCTCTCTGTGTGTCTCTCTGTGTGTCTATCTGTGTGTCTCTCTGTGTGTCTCTCTGTGTGTCTCTCTGTGTGTCTCTCTGTGTGTCTCTCTGTGTGTCTCTCTGTGTGTCTCTCTGTGTGTCTCTCTGTGTGTCTCTCTGTGAGTCTCTCTGTGTGTCTCTCTGTGTGTCTCTCTGTGTGTCTCTCTGTGTGTCTCTCTGTGTGTCTCTCTGTGTGTCTCTGTGTGTGTGTCTCTGTGTGTCTCTCTGTGTGTCTCTCTGTGTGTCTCTCTGTGTGTCTCTCTGTGTGTCTCTCTGTGTGTCTCTCTGTGTGTCTCTCTGTGTGTCTCTCTGTGTGTTTCTCTGTGTGTCTCTCTGTGTGTCTCTCTGTGTGTCTCTCTGTGTGTCTCTCTGTGTGTCTCTCTGTGTGTCTCTCTGTGTGTCTCTCTGTGTGTCTCTCTGTGTGTCTCTCTGTGTCTCTCTCTGTGTCTCTCTCTGTGTCTCTCTCTGTGTCTCTCTCTGTGTCTCTCTCTGTGTCTCTCTCTCTGTGTCTCTCTCTGTGTCTCTCTCTGTGTCTCTCTCTGTG